TGTTTTGTTTACAGGCTTTCAATCCTGACACTGAGTTCCAATTCAAGAACAGAACAAAGCACTGGGACAAGAAGTATTATGAAGGGGTGTTTGGAGCAGATGATTGCTATGCCTTGTGTCCACCAAGCTCAGCCTATTACACCAGTCCTTCTTATAAGGTACTGGGCTAGCTTTCTTTTAATTTTGCCCATGAAAGGAATTCATATTCACGCCAAATTGGCTCATAGTGCAAGACCAGGTAAAAGTTTTGCCACTTCCACTGAATGGGATGTTAGTCCGTTGCCATTGCCAATCGTTATATCCCAGGTTACTTATCAGTGTGTAAACTCATCGTCAATAGGCATGGTGCCTGTTAGAGTGGGTGGTGGTTCCAGGGCGAGCAACGACCCTTTAGCAATGAGCCTTGAGCAAGGCACGCACGTATCCATGGCAACTCTGCGAGCGGCAACCAACCACCAGACACCGTCACACTGACCAAGTCAGTGGGGATACTTACCAACCCAATACTTACCAAATCCACCAATGAGGGAGGGAAGGGGAGGGAGAAAAAGCAGTACAAACATATGGTTCAGCGCTCGAAACAAACTGCACTACCTCACATGGCTGGAATGCACAACACCTGCGATTCGAGAAGCCCCATATGTCACATCGAGGTGCATGAGTCCCTGACCACCACTGACCAACATTGGCTTGATTTTAACCTAGCCTAAATTACATTCAGCCACATTATGTCAGGTTGCCGTACAGTTTGCTGCTACTTTTTCTTTAAATGCTCCTGAGTGGAGAGCTCTAGATTCTCTGAAAGAAACTTTTCCTGCCTACATGCAAGAATGTAAGACAGTGGCTCCAGTTGGCCAGTACTCGGAACTGGACTGCTTGATTCAGAACCAACTTTTCTTGCTGACTGTTACACTGTAGGTGACTGCCACCCCCCCCCCCCTTCCCCACCCTTTTGCCACTGCTGTGACTGTGTTTGAATTTTTCAAAAATCTCACTTTAACTAGCCAGTTAAAGTTTTGCAGTAAAATTGGTGCAAATGATTCCAATCTACAAAAAAAATGAATCAAAGAAATCGAAGCATTTGAATGTGAAAATTTGCATTAAGGTGAGCGTATAAATTCATGACTGTATACCAGTAATTATATCTGGATGTTTATTTTTTCTTCTCCTGTTTCAGGATCCATATGGTTGGCTTGTAAATTTGATCAACAAGGTAGGTACACTGTACATGTACTACATTCTACATTACGTGATCATATTTTCTTTCATGCTATAATTGCGTCGTGCATAAATAATAATTTTGTAATTCTGGTGATTAATAGTACAATGTAACAATTAAAAACACATTCATGTGAACTTAGTCAATAAAGGCATTTTCTATAGTTGATAATTTTGTTTATTCTTATAACATGTTTTCTTACAGTAATTGTTAATGTCACAGTGAGAAGTTACAGTGCAGGTTTTGGTAGCTACATGTATTGACAGAGATGTGCAACGTATAGGGTGAATATTGAAAGATCTCTTCTGTATAAATTTGCAGTTTGCAGAGCTTGGTGGTTTTGAAGAAATTAAGAAACAGATTGAAACAGCTGAAAAAGTGGATGCTCCAGTAAGGTCTTCTTATGCAAGTTGTATGGCTATCATCATGATACTTGATGAAAGCTGTCCAAGTTACTGAATGTTTCTTCTCTCTTTTTTTTGCTTTTTTCTTTTAACAAAATTAATCTGTCATTTGTGATTTCAGATGCTGGCGGCACTTTTGAAACCCTTGGGAATCTGTGCCAGTTACCTAAATGCCAAAGTCCTGCCGGTAAGATTTCTCAACTGCTGCGACTCTATAACAGTGTTTCCACCAGACCGCACCATTGCGGGAATCCCGTGTTGGAATCAGAGATGGCCCCAGAAAAATGAAAAAAGGGCCAATTTGTCCCTTTCTAAAGATCATAGGCTCGTAGGCTATCCAAATCGCCAATGCAACTAACATTTCATCCTTGGCAAACAAAAATTCTGGTTTAGTCCCCATAATGGCAACTACATTTCTCTGTGTTGACGATCAACAATGGTTATTTTGTCACACATAATGTCCTTCTAGAAAATCATATTGAAAACATACAACATTCTAAAACATTCAACATAAGAAAAGAAGCCAATCCATCCTTTTGCTTTGCTGTATTGATTCTCTCACATCGGAAAACTTCCAAATGGCTGACCATGTTATGAAAAAAAGCCCTATAATGCATTGCAAACCCTTGATCATTGACTACATCATGTACGCCTAAGGATTGTTCTTTTGTGATGCACAGATCCTTGATACTGGTATCTAATTCAAAAGAAACTTTATAGAGTAGAAACACTTAAAAAAGCACTTACTATTAAATTTTATCATAGACCCTAATAAGCTGCTACATGTATATTTTCCTTGGTACCCTGATGCATTTTTTCCTTCTGTAGATTTCAATTTATTTGCCCCTTTCCTAAAAAATTGGCCCCTAGAAAAGATCTTCAGGGGCCAATTTGGCCCTCAAGTAAAATTTTCTGGCTGAAACACTGTATAATTATAAAAATGTTTAATTTTTAAAAGTATTCATAAACTAAAGCTAATTACAATAACATCACTGTATAAAATTCTCACACAATTACCTCCGGTCCCTTGCTAGTATAAATCACTCTTCATTTGCGGTCTTCTCTTCAGAAAGTATTCAGTGATGTTTTTGAGAAGACATTGGGATATATCCAAGAACTTACTAATGAAGACATGAAGCAGAAGGTAAGTGACTGATGTATTGTTATATGGAAATCAATTATCAGTGTTCATTAAGCAGAGGCCTTACTTATATATGCCATTTGGCATGAAGAGGGAAGGGTCCTACAGATGTACATGTACACATACTGTACTGTCAAAAACCTGTACCGACAAGCTTGTTTGGTCGAGGTAAATGTATATAGTTGGAAACTGGCTTTATTCTTTTTTTGTGTGGATATGGATGTCAACTGCATCTTGTCCCACAAATTTATATCTAAAAGAACTTCTATATCCAACCATCCTTCTCTCAAGCTTGGTCCATAACATGTATTTACTGTGATTTTTTTTTAACAGACAGTTGGTGATGTATTTGATCTTTTAACAACTCTAAAACTCCTATGCATGAGACTTTGGCAGAATATGGTGTCAGGGGTTGATGAACTGAGATTGGAGGTTGCCCTGAAAATGCTCAAAAGTCCACATTTTAATGCAAAGATGAACTCACTCAAAGAGGTATGTACAGTGTATGGTTCAGGGGCTTTTACAGTAACATGGAAATCAACCACATTTTTTCCATGGTGTACACCCGTAGCATACATGTAGGCTGACCAAAAACATAATTGTGTGTAAATATTTTTGAGTGTGGTGTAGTGCCGTTGATGAAAGAACTAAGATTTTCAGGTGCTAGTTTGTAGATGTGATGCCTTATGCATTGCATGGCAAGGGAAAAAAAGATGATTTTGGACAACCATCTTTTCAGATCTAGACGTCCGAGATGAAATCTATTCGTCAAGCAATAAAAGGAGGCATGTTTCTTAGTGTTTCAAGTCGAAATGTTGTACACCCCTCCTTTGAAGCCAGTGCACTTTGACTAAGCTCTTCTCGCCCTCCAGTGTTGTAGTGTATACAGTATGAACCAGTCATAGAATTTGTAATTTCGGAATACTGGAGCCACGGCTGACCAGCTTTCCACTGTGGCTGAAATTTTCAAAGCTGTGAGTTTTGAGGCCCAGAGGCTTCCGTTCGGGTTTTCTTGCTTTCTGATCCAGTTTCTCCTTGGCCTTCCGAATCTTTTGCCCTGAAAATGCTCAAAAGTCCACATTTTAATGCAAAGATGAACTCACTCAAAGAGGTATGTACAGTGTTTGGTTCAGGGGCTTTTACAGTAACTTGGAAATCAACCATATTTTTTCCATGGTGTTCACCCACAGCATACATGTAGGCTGACCAAAAACATAATTGTGTGTAAATATTTTTGAGTGTGGTGTAGTGCCTTTGACAAAAGATCTAAAATTTTCAGGTGCTAGTTTGTGGATGTGATGCCTTTTATGCATTGCTTGACAAGGAAAAAAAAGATGATTTTACGGTATACAATAGTCAAATCGTGTGTACTTAAGGCATCTGTGGTCGAGTCTTGATTGACACTCAAATGACACTCAATTGGCATCTCAATTGATACTCAGTCAACACTTGATAGACATCTCAGTCCATCTCAGGTGATAGTCAGTCAAGAGTTGACTAACTTTTGCAGACACACCATCAAGTGTTGATTGATACATATGAGTTGATCGACCGAGTTTTGAGCAAGTGTGGATCAAGATGTCTCAGGTGACAGTCAGTCAAGAGTCGACTCATTTTCATGGTCTCATGGTCTTTCATGTTTGATAAATGTATATTAGATAGTACGTGTATGAGTGGAGCAATGGAGTTTAGTGAGTGTGCATCAAGATGTCGATTGAGTGTCGCTTTATTGTCAATGAAGTATCAATCAAGATGTTGATTAAGTGGCGAGTGAGATGTTGATCAAGGGTATTGATCAACACTCAGCCGTGGATGCCTTTAGTACACATGATATCAGTGGTCTAAGCTGATTTGGTTCCTCACCAATCAGAGTGTAGATACACGCCTGTATTACAATTATGGTAAAATTCAATTCATCAGGCCTAAAAGTACATGTATGCCGATATAGCCAATGGTAATATTGTTTTAATTTATGTTAGGTCTGCAAGTTGATTGAAGATTCAGAGAAGACCAAGAACACCAAAGTAAGCATGTCTCAGGATGCTANTAGTACACATGATCCCAGTGGTCTAAGCTGATTTGGTTCCTCACCAATCGGAGTGTAGATACACGCCTGTATTACAATTATGGTAAAATTGCAATTCATCAAGCCTAAAAGTATGCTGATATAGCCAATGGTAATATTGTTTTAATTTATGCTAGGTCTGCAAGTTGATTGAAGATTCAGAGAAGACCAAGAACACCAAAGTAAGCATGTCTCAGGATGCTATCACAGAATGGCTGTTACAGAATAAAGTGCTCTCAATTGCATTTGAAAGTAAGTTTTTGTTGATAACCATTATTTAGCAGTGAAATAATGTAGTGTTAATAACATTATTATTATTATTATTATTATTATTAAAATTATTATCATTATCATTATCATTATCATTTTGTTGTGATACCAGGGTAGTGAACTGTGCTACCAGGGAAATAATCCTGATCAGTTGTGTGGGTCAAACCTTGGCTGGGGTAATCGAGGTCTTGGGCAAGTACAGGTTTTTCTCCTGATGTTTTTCTCCACCCAGGAACTGGTATAAAATTAATCCAGGTATCCATGAAGTAAAAGATGCCCTTGGAAGGGGTTGAGGGTGGGGATGGAGACAACCCTGCAGTAGACTTGCAACCCATCCAGAGGAGACTAGGAATAGACGTCAGAGTTCCTCCTGTGATTGTCTTTTGCTCTTCCATACTTAACCTATTTTGACACAAATTATGTCCATTGCTGGTGATTGAAAAAAAAATTCATTTTGGTTTTCTTTGGTACCACTAGGCAATCTTCATCAGTCACAGTATTGTGATCGCATCAAAGTCCTTGTAGAGTTTCTTGGCACAAAGCTTTCACTGGACGAATTGACCACCATATGGAAAATGCAGGTATTACATGTAGTATTAGTCAGAATATATTTGCATTTATGTAAGGTTATGGAAAGTATTCAGACAGGTTGTTTACATGTACATGTACAAACTGTATGTAGGTGGCTTTAAACGTACAATGTACTTTTATTGGATGGAAGTTAAGTCTGACACAGGTAATTGTTACCGTACATGTCAGAAATACTTGTATGGTCATGATAGTAAAAAGGTCATGGATGGAACGATGGATGGCTCAAAATTTTGGATCNATTATTATTATAAAAATTATTATCATTATCATTATCATTATCATTTTGTGATGATACCAGGGTAGTGAACAGTGCTACCAGGGAAATAATCCTGATCGATTGTGTGGGTCAAACCTTGGCTGGGGTAATTGAGTTCTTGGGCAAGTACAGGTTTTTTCTCCTGATGTTTTTCTCCACCCAGGAACTCATATAAAATTAATCCAGGTATCCATGAAGTAAGTGATGCCCTTGGAAGGGGTTGAGGGTGGGGATGGAGACAACCCTGCAATAGACTTGCATCCCATCCAGAGGAGACTAGGAATACAAGTCAGAGTTCCTCCTGTGATTGTCTTTTGCTCTTCCATACTTGACCTATTTTGACACAAAATATGTCCATTGCTGGTGATTTAAAAAAAATTCATTGTGGTTTTCTTTGGTACAACTAGGCAATCTTCATCAGTCGCAGTATTGTGATCGCATCAAAGTCCTTGTAGAGTTTCTTGGTACAAAGCTTTCATTGGACGAATTGACCACCATATGGAAAATGCAGGTATTACATGTAGTATTAGTCAGAATATATTTGCATATATGTAAGGTTATGGAAAGTATTCAGACAGGTTGTTTACATGTACATGTACAAACTGTATCTAGGTGGCTTTAAATGTACAATGTACTTTTATTGGATGGAAGTTAGGTCTGACACAGGTAATTGTTACCGTACATGTTGGAAATACTTGTATGGTCATGATAGTAAAAAGGTCATGGATGGAACGATGGATGGCTCAAAATTTTGGATCAAGGAATTTTACCTGAAAGTAAACAACCAATGAAACGCGGAATTTTCCTCAGCATGCATTCGATGTGCTGTTTTTTGAATCACGGGTACTAACGTCGGTATTTCAACTGATTAAGGTTCAAGCACCAGCTGAAACATCTTGAAAAAAAAATAGTCAGTGGGAAACCAGTATCTTACAATGAAGTTTGTTGTTGTTGTTTTGCTGTAAGGTTGGAAAACACCCAACAGAAGTGGACAACATTCACAATATCCTGGCTACAGCAGCAGTGCGATTCAACTCCAACCAGCTTGATCATCTGTTTGTACTCATACAGCAGGTAACATGTTTATAAATAATTAAAATTAATGATTAAATCGATTAAATTAAAACATACAGGTACTCTCGCATGCTATCAAAGCTATTAACAACAAATATACTTAAATTGTCATAACTCATGTAAGTTGAGTTACTTTCGGATGGTACATTTTACCACAGTCGCTGCTAATCTTGCAATCTGTGGCATCAGTGTGTCGCGCAATGCCTTTTTCAGCTCGCGCTCTGAAAAAAACATTTTCTTTGACAGTGATATTGTGGTAAAAAACAAATCAAAATTGGTTTAGTATGGTCTGTACTCTGACCGACAACGAGTACACATCATTACTCTTTCCCAATCATTTTTTTCTTATTATTTCTGCATGTTGAGCAAGTTCGCAAGAGTTTTTGAAAGGAAAGTCTGACGCATACAAGTAGCTCATTTGCATAGTGCAGCACGTGCACTTTCAAGTCCGAGTCAGTGTTTTCAATTGCCAACAAATCTTGACAAAGATTTCTTTCGTTATCTTTGATATTATGGTAAAAAACAAATCAAATGTGGTTTAGTGTGGTCTGTACTCTTATTGAAAATGAGTACGTGTCATCACAGTGGTCAAAATTTATTGTGGACTCACTCGGTTGCGCCTTGTGAGTCCACAACATTTTGACCACTGTGATGACATGTACTCGTTGTCGATAAGGGTACAGACCACGCTAAACCACATTCGAGTTGTTAATTAGACGGTCTACACTAAGCATCCATGTACAACTGTAAGAGCCAGGCAAACTGTGCAATGTTTTATCAACTAGTTACATCACTGGTTTCGATTTACTGAGAGAAATGTAATCTTATGATTGTTTTGTTTAAGAGCTGGGGATCAGAGAGTGACCGCATGAAGGAGAAGCTGCTTGTACTAATAGGAAGAATTGGGAAAGAAGCTCGAGTAGGAAAAATCACAACTAAGGTACGTTGCAAAATAAATCAATGTAATATCTACATAGGCATGTATATGTGTGCATGACTCAGCATTTTAAAATGGCTAGTTGAAATTTAAGAGGCATGATGGCCTTGCAGTTGGTGGGGTCTGTTTTGTGTTCTCAGTCAAAGTATTACAAAATATATGCATTTCCAGACTTACCAGAGGGGTAGGTAAAGTCTGCCTACAAGCCAGATGGCCCATCAGGCTGGAGCTTATGCGAGTTTCTGTAGTATGAAGTTACTAGGAGAATTGCTAATACCCCCTGTAGCTGGATGGGATGCTAGTCCATCACAGGGTTACCCCCAGCACTAAATTCACCAGTACCCATTTAAAATATACACCTGGGTGGAGAGAGGCACTTTTTGAGTATTGTGCACAACGCAGTGTCCCTGGCGAGGACTCAGACCTGAACCACTCAGTCCAAAGTGGAGCCTGAAGGGTGCTTCCATCTATTTTTTCAGGTGCTTGATCTTCTGTGGAGTTTGTCTCACTTGCCATCACTGACAACTGAGATGGTAGATCAAGCCCTCAGATCTCACAATGACATCCTGAGTGACTCGTATGCTGTTAAGGAGCAGATCAAGAAGAACTATGCTGTTAAATGCATGGAGGACATCAGGAAAGGCATTTTGATTGTGCCAGCTATCCGCCAACTTCTACTGATCACAAAAGGAATGGTGAAACAACAATTCAACAAGCATGACAAGGTTTGGCATGTCAAGTTTGTTTAAATTCGTAATGTCTCCCTCTGTATGGCATGCTTATAATGTGTAAATGGTACATGGCATTTGATTTGTATTGTCAGTAGGAATGATGTTTATTATGCTTGCCAATTTAATTTTGTGAACTCAAGCAAAGTATAATTTGGTTTTTACTGCATCTTAATGGTTTATCTCTCAACCCAAAACTACATTGTACACTGTAAGCTACATGTAAGCTTTGTCCCCTGAACACCAATGTTGCAATTTTTTGCACCTTGGCTTAAAACAAAAAGGGGAGCACTTAATATATGAAATTAAGTGGCAGGTTACCTCACTCATTGTGGAAACAGCCACATATACATGTATCAGGGCTTTCAAGAAATTTTTTGCACTAGAGGTAAAAGACAATTCAGAAATAATTAATGGTCTATTGATGAGGCTATTTCATCTGACTAATAACTTCTTTGACAGGGTATCCTGCCAGAGCTGCATAAAAATCATGACATCATTAAGCTGACTGTCAGCAGCCTTGTGAACTGTCACCAGCAGGCTGTCGCAGCTGCTGCCCCCAGTGGACTGGATGAGGATACCCTTGTAGATGGACGGTACACGCACAAGAAGTTTGTTAACACCCACCTTCGATTCCTGGCTTTTGTCTTGCAAGAGGGCGTCCTTTATCTTCCCTGGCACCGGGCTAGAGATATCTGGGATTGTCTGGTAGCTAATCCTGATGCTTGTGAATTTGATCGTGAGGTAAGCTGGTACACCTATATGCTACATGTACCTGTAATTGGTTACACCATATGAATTTTAACTGCAGGTCTTGTGAAGTGATGTGGAAGCTTGTTGACCTGATGAGTAGTTTGTTAGGCTCCAGATCCAAAGGTCAGGTCAAAGTTGCTGAGGTTCAAAGATTTGAACTATTTCGTTTGCCCTTGTGTTGTGCTCTTAGACAAAAAAAATCACTCTACTTGTACATTCATTTGTCTTTCCACCAATTTGTATCTGGAGAGGGCAGTACACCTTTTCGTTTCATTGTGGAAGCTGACAGAAGTTACATGTAATTGCTATCCTGAGAATGCACTAGGCTATGAGGTTTTAATTGCTTTAAGGCTGTGAAGGTATAATTTTAGTGAATAATAGTAAGTTATGGACTCTACTTTTCATTTTGTTTCTGTAGACGTGCTTTGATTGGTTCTACAAAGGACAGTGTGACCTAGAGGCAGACACGCAATCTCAAATGTTCACGGGGAAAGTTCTTAAGCTGGATCCCAGTAGGCTGACCATGAGAGGTATGAAGAATGGATTGATCAAATAATAGAACTTAAAGAGGAGATGAGATCATTTTGATTTTCACATACAATTTTGGATTGTATTGTGATCGTTTTCCCCCCCTCTCCCTTCTAATGTTGACCATTCCATTTTCCATGGTCACATTATCTCTTTTATACAGACCTTTCTAAGCTGTGGGCCTTATTTCTTGTGTAGGCTTTGCTTGCTTCAGAGCATTTCTGGAGAATGTTAACCAGAATGACCATCGTTTGAAAAAGACAGGGAACACCTACACAGTTGAGAAGATGGACCTTGTAGGTCTTGATTACCTGTGGAGAGTAGTGCTTGAAATACCATCGGAGGAAATAGCCATGTTGGCTGTCAAACAACTCATGGAACTTAGTTACACCTGGCTGTCTTCAAAGTTGAAGAAGGTAAATGTGAGCTAAGCCTGTGGCTAACTTTAAAAAAGATGTTTCATACCTGCCTGCCTTAACAGGGCTGTGCCAGGAAATCTCATAAGTAAGTGTAATGTATATATTCTATTTTCAGGACCCTGTTAACAGTCACAAGAAATTTATTTTGGAGTGTTACAAACGTCTTGAAGTAAGTAATTTCCCTTTGACAGTTCCTTTAGTTTTACTTGGACTAGTTATCTTTTTATCTTCTTTTCTTGTGCCAGCACTCTTTGAAAACTCAGGAACCAAAATGTTTGGGTTACCTGATCTTTCCAGGAGACCAGAGCTGTTCTACCTCTGTATCATTCTTTATTACTGTCTTATACATGCACCTGAGATACATTTTTTGTAAATTTCATAAATTTTTGACAAACTAAAGTTTTTGTGCTGTACTTAAATTTAACAGACAATGATGTCTGGCCTTGGACACACATCGCTGACCCATGCAGCTTGCATTGCAACCACTGCAGCTACAGCTCCAATAACACCAGATGTGCCTCTCTCTCCTGTGCCAAGGTATAGCATTTTAGTAACTAAGGAAAATAAGTTTCAGACAACAAGAGGCTTATGTGAGCATCT